TTTTTTTTTCTTTTTGGTTATTATAATACTTTTCTCTACTTCTTTATATTATATACATTTATATATATGTATATATATACACACACACACATATATATATACATATATATGAAATACATATATGTGAAAAAAAAAACAAGATAAGAATTCCAGTATACTATATTGATAACTCGATTTTTTCAAAAGTCTTATTCAATCGATTTTTATTTTCACAGAAATCTCATATATACGTCCGTTCTCTTGGATACTCTGTATGTCTTTTAACAGTATTATTGTGCGTATTCAATTAACAACAGTCACCGATGCGTGTACGTGTGCTAGTCGCGATAATTTCAGAGCACAGCCATGAGGTTGGTCGGTCGGTCGGTTGGTCGGTCGATCGGTCGCTTGATCTGTCGGTCGGTCGGTTGGTCGGTCGGTCGGTCGTTCGTTCGTTCGTTCGTTCGTTCGTTCCTTCGTTCATTCGGTTGGTCAATATAGTCGCGTACGATGGAAGAGTTGTTGTATAGAAACCATTACAAATTCTAGTCACGTTTCTATTCTTTTTCTTTTCTAAAAATTCAAACAACCACGAAGGCTTTACCGTAAGAATAATGATATATTTTTCTTCACCTAAAGGCGTTTAATCACAAGCATTGAATGTTTTTTAACACTGTTGCTTAAGTCCAAGCTGAATATATCCGTTTACGTATTCCTTACGTTTCTTTTCTCAAAAAGAAAGTTATCATTTTTAAATACGTTTGTCTGTCTCTTCGATCGCCATCGGGTTCTTTTTCTCTAACTAACGAATCGTTTCGTACGAATTGTTTCAAAGATCTTATTTCGAGTCTATATTTTTTTTCTCCTCTCCCTATATATTTTCTTTTTTCTCTTTTTCCTTTACTTTCTTTTTTTTTCTCTTCTTTTCTTCTTCTACTTTTTTCTTTTTTTCCTTTTTTTTTTTTTAAACAATTTTAATCTATATAAAATAAATTACTTAGCTTCGAGCGTTTCATAGAAACTTGTTATTTCGAATGGATTCCTTTTGGGTGCATTTTTAACGAATGCGTTATATGAAGCCTTTAGCTTTGTAAAAACATTGATAAAAAGCGATCGAATATTTATTTTAAATGCATTGGCTCAAATGATCCTGTTCGAGTATATTTTCTTTCTTTCTTTCTTTCTTTCTGTTTTTTTTTCTTTTTTTTTTCTTTCTTTTTTTTTTTTTTCTTTTCGTCGGAACAACGTTATCCCAAAGCGTTATCCTATTATATCAATGGTCTTGTTAATCGTACGTCGTTACGAATCGTTTTTATCGAATTACTTATGCGAACTATTTCGAGGACGTTATTACGAACGCGTTGTCTCTCTTTTTAAATGTTATTTTATAAAAGAAATCGCATGTTCGTCGAACGACGGCTCTTGGCCGACTGATTGCGAAAACGCAAAGACCACTCGCGCTCTTTCTGTGCGCGCCAGTGTGTTATTCGCACATGCGTACATTCCGCGCGGAATTCTGACGTCCCTATAGGACGACCTCGTAAATATTCTTCTTCGAATTTATTGAACATTGCGAATATTATTATACCGAATATTATTCATTATTTTATCATTATATAAATATTTGATCTTTCGTTAATCCTTGTTACTCTAAGAGAAGATGTACAGGAAATAATATGATATACGATATTGTCTTAATATATATACATATGTATGTATATACGTGTATATATTTCGGATATATATGTGTATATATTTCGGATGGTTTCACTTATCAACGTAATATTCGTTGAGCAAAAGAGGGAGGGGAAGAGGGGATAGCCCAAGAAGATCGCAAACATAATTATGGAAACATACGTATAACAAATAACACAGGAATATTATTGCATTGAGCGTTTAGGTAATCGACGATACATGAAACTGTTGATCAATTCTACGTTTCTATCTGTATGTAATACAAGAAGAGAGAGTGAGAGTGAGAGTGAGAGTGAAAGAGATAGAGAGAGAGAGAGAGAGAGAGAGAGAGAGAGAGAGAGAGAAAAGCGGAAGATAGAGAAGCGTATTGCTATCTGTTAATTTCAAGGAAACTATCGGGTCTTTAAGTTCTTAACCTTTTCTTCAAAGAAAGGAAAGTAGGTTACGTTGGGATCGTTTGAAAAAGGCAAACACATCACTAGGAAGATAGAAGATGCAGAAAAGTAAAGATTCGTACGTAAAGATTTGACTATGTGATATAAATAGGGTCTCTCTCTTTCTCTCTTTTTCTCTCTTTGATTCTTGATATATCTGGTCGATCTTTTTGAAAATACGCGGAACATCATTCGACTTTTCCCTCGTGTCCATTAACTTGAATATACATACCTTCGTATTTCATAGTACGAGTTCGTGGTTTCAATATATATTATTTTGAAATATCACGTATAATATGCGATCGCCTAACTATATTGTAATATAGAGATTTATAGGCTTCATATATATGTATGAGATATTACATTTTTTATTCTTTTTTTTTTTTTTTTTTTTTTTTAACGTTTCATTTCGATCGAACAATCGTACTTTTATGCTGCATCGGTTTTTCGAACGAAATGTGATTGGTCCGTTTCCGCACGATTTCGACCGTTACTATCTCTACTTCTTTCTTTCTCTCTTTTTTTTTGTTTTCTTTTTTTTTACTGTTTTTTTTGTTTTTGTTTTTTTTTTCTTTCTTTTTTTTATTACAAATGCATGCTCGTATAATCCTCGTATAACCAAATCCACGTAACACCGTGAAAGCATAGCTCGTTGCGTCACGTCTGCATTTGCATGGAAGCGTCTGAACGACGACGAGGAAGATGATGATAAAGCAAACCAAAATGGACAGAAAATTCAAAAGAAAATAAAGCCAGGAGACCGTGCATACTTATTTTTTCTGTGTACCTTTTCTTCTTCTTCTTCCTCTTCTTCTTCTTTTTTTACTTTTTCTTCTTTTATTTCCTTTTCCTCCCCCCTTTCTTTTTTTCTTTCTCCCTTCTTAAGAAATTTTATTCTCGAACATTATTTAATGTAATATGATTTATTGAAACGGAATTTTCTCCACGTGGTTTAATGATTCATAGTCCCACGATATTTATAGAAGATAATTTACGCTCGGGCAAGCAAACATTCGACCAACTCGATATACTTAGATAGGCATACACTAATACAAGAATAGCCCATATGCATTGTGGCTTACCCATATACACACATAGATATATATGTATGTATGTGATATATATATATATATATATATATATATATATATATATATATATATACATGAATCGCCTATGTCCGCCGATTATAATTTATAATCCAATCTCGGTGGATTAGTTGGCATTCTAAGAGACGTTAATTAGACTTCATGAGTTCAGTTTAACTAAGTTTGATACAAACAAATGCGTATTCTCGATTCAGAGAAACGCACATAAAGGATCTCGTGAATCTTCTTAGTACAAATGAAAGGACAATTTACATTGTTTTCGATTAAATAAGTGATTATAAAATGACTAAAGCTCATTATTAATTATAAGTTAATTCTTTAATTTAACGTTGAAAGATTACGTTTCAGTAATTATATCAAATTAATTAGCTCTCACGAAACTGCATACATATGATCCTTTCCATTGCGAAAAGTATACAAGAAGGATGATAAATAGGGGTCGATAGAGGATTTCGATAAGAGGTGAATCGCAAGCAGGACGACGAACATCGTACCTAATTCCTTATCGAAGCAAACGTGTCAGAAGCCATTAGGCCAAGAGGAGGACATCGTAGAGCAAGCAGCCGCTTAGAAAGCAACAACATGCAACGTTTCACGAATTAGGTATACGACCGAAATGGATTTACTTATTCTCGTCATAAATATGATCTCTATCCAATATAAATTATTAAATTGTAATTACTTTCCATTCTAATAATCTTTTCTTACAATTAATAATACTTTTTCTGCAATTAAATATTTATATTTATGTTAATTAAACGATAACAGATTTTAGAATTTAATCTCTAATTCCTAAATATATATATATATGTGTGTGTGTGTGTGTGTGTGTGTATGTGTTCACTTTCATATATACACAATGAAACAAAATCTTAGTTATTATTTATCATTACGTCATCATAAATGTCTCATCTGACCCATTAAATTTGTGTTCGCTTTTTTTTTTCTTTTTTTTATTTGAAATTTGTTAAATCTCAGAATCTCTTAAAATGCACTTGGATTTATTTTACGAGCCATTAGAAATAATAGATGCCGGATACGCATGGACGATAGACAACGATGAAAGAGTAAAACGAGATTACACGTTTAATGGTTAAAAAGTGAAACTAAACGATGCAATCGTTCGTTGATCCGTTTTAACGTTCGATATTTTGTCGAGCACTGGAGAGAGAATTGCGCAGAGATCTTTTTGGTATTGGAGTTCAAATTACTTCTCGTAATTCTTGTTTCGACTTTTAATAGCCGACATTCCGACGATGTTATTAACTTTATCCAACATTTTGTAATGATGCCATCGAACGAGTTTGGCAAAACAACAAGCGATATCTTCCCTTGTGAGCTTTCTCTTTTATAAAGAATTATTATCGGACTGCTTTCATTTGTCTTTATCTTTTTGGTCCGTACTCTGTATAGAAAAGGAGAACGAAGCGAGAGAAATAAAAGAAAGAATAACGTCGGACTTGAAAAAAGGAACACTTTGTTCCTTGAAAGTAACGATGAAGGATGTCTTTTTTCTTTTTTCTCTTTTTTTTTTTTTATTTTTTTTTATTTTATCCCTGAACGATAGCTAGCTTTTCTCGGAAAGAAATAAAGTTGACACAATTGCTGTGTCTTCAAAAACATATACTTACTCTAAGTACGGTTTATATATATATTTATTTATTTTTTTTTTTTATTCATATTATAATGGATGACCCCATTTAAAATATATAAATTATAATATAAATATAGATTGCTATAAATATATATCAATCTATATTTTATATATATATATATATATATATATATATATATATATATATGCACAGTTCATTTGAAACATATAAATTTTGTAATTCATTGTGTATCGTTTATAAATATTAATTATTAGTAATATTAATAAAAAGAAAGAAAAAAAAATTAATGACGAGCGAAAGTAAAAGAATAAGCAAAAATCTCGCTATCAATATTGGTTATCGATAATCGAAACAGAAATTCCGTCATCGATATTGGTTATTTCTAAATTAAAACGAAACTCTTGTAAACCATATAGCAATTAACAACGAATAATCAAGAAATAATTCTTCATCATCGATAATGATTGTTCGTAATCATAAACAATTTCCGCTGTCAATAATGGTTATTCGTAACAAAAAATAATTTCCCTCTACGATAATGGTTACCACATTATATGAAGAAAAAAAAAAGAAAAAAGAAAAAAAAAACCCAATTTTGAACCGTTCGTAATGATTATTCTTAAAATCAAAAATTGATAAATCATAAAATTTCAGCAAAATTTAATCGACAATGGATTTTCATTTAAATAAAAATTAACTTTTTTCTTTCAATGATATCTTTTTTTCGAAAGAAATCTATAAAATAATCGTTATTCTTGTTCCTCGTTTATTATATAATCCTTTGCTATTGATCTTTTATTAACAAGAAGTCCTTTATCTAATTTCTCTTTGTCAATGTTCCTTTTGTGCCATTTTAAAAATCATTTTACGTACTTTTGTTTCAATCCTGGTCGAGATAGATTATATCGTGTGGGACTATTATTTATCGTTGCAGTTACTGCTCTTTATCAAATAACTTCTATAATGGGCAGCAATTTGAAATCAACAGTGCCGTTGGGAAAAGGTTATGTTTTTGTTCGTAAAGGAAAAAAAAAAAAAAAAAAAAGAAAAAAGAAGGAAAAAAAATTGAAGAAATTTAGAATCGTTTAATTTTGAAAAATGAAACATTTTCTATGACAAATGAAAGAAAAGAATAAAGGAATTAATTATCGCGCGGGTAAATGATCATTTACGACTGTTAAAATTCTATTAAATATTTCTTTTACTTTTCTCTTCGATGACTATCGATATTAATAATATTTATCTATTATCGACAAAACATGAACGGATGTAAACGTGAAATTAATTGATGCATTAATTGCGTATCGTTATTTTCATACATTACATATCACGTGAGTAATAATAATAAATGTAATTAATGAGATACAATAAATCGGAATATTTAAAGAGAGAGAAAGAGAGAGAGAGAAAGAGAGAGAGAGAGAGAGAGAGAGAGAGAGAAAGAGAGAGAAAGAGAGAAATAAATAGCAAAGCAATCGAATCGAAAACTTTACGCCAATTTCTGATATCGGATTTCCGCTTCAATGAACGCAATACGAATGATGTTACTTTAGAATCGAAGCGTGATCGCAAAAGAATTTTAAAAGGGAGAATTTTAAAAGGAAATAGAAAAATAAGAAAGAGAAAGAGAGAGAGAGAGAGAGAGAGAGAGAGAGACGTAGCTTAAAGTAGATGAGATATAACGCCTTCGATGAAAAATAAATTTTTAATTTCCATCATCTTTATTTTACCGATCGAAATTCACGTTTTACTCCTTTACGTACAATGACGTTAAACGGAAGATGTAAAATCGACAGTCTCAATTTCCGACGTTTATTTACCTACTTCCTAAGTTTATCTATTACCTTGTCGGAAAGTGTATATACTAAACTCACGTGTATACTCATTATCTGTCAAGTTAACTGGATATAAAGGATATATAAGAGACAACGTCGCTCGAGGATTATCTAATTAGATTGACGTTGTTTCAAAAAAGAAAAGAAGAGGAAAAAAAAAACGTGTCACGTTGATCAGAAAGTAGAATTATACGATTCTGTTCGTTTGCATGTTAAGAAGAAGAGAAATAAGATGAATTATTTGATCGACGTATTATATGACGTTCATAAAGCCGACATTTAATCGTATATTATATTTGATACGAAGATATGGAATTTTGTTATTTCGCGAAATAGTATTTTATTCAATACGAAATATCCTATTTTCTCTCTCTCTCTCTCTCTCTCTTTCTTTCTTTCTTTCGAGAGAGATAGAGAGTGGATATGTATATCTGTGCATATATATATATACATATATATATATACACAATATATCAATATTTCCAACATTGGTAAGCGTCGATGTACATCAATGAAGTATATCGTTTGGATCAGTTATTACACTCTAGGAACAACTATCTCATAAAAAATATATGCAATCCTATATATATATATGTATGTGTTTGTAAAATGTGTATATATATATGTATATATGTAGATAAAAACATAGATTTATAAACGAAAAAGGATACAAGGATGTTAAAGTATTCACATATGGTCGAAGCATCGAAAATCAATTCGCGATATATACGTTTGTATTTACGTATATATATGTATGTATGTGTATATATATATATATATATCCACTCCTATACAATTTTTCGTATTTCACGATAGACGAGGAAAGTTACCGTGTTTTCATGTCCAATTTGCTCTCTCTCTCTCTCTCTCTCTCTCTCTCTCTCTCTCTTTTTCTCTTTCTCTCTCTTTCTCACTGTTGTCCCTATCATGATATTTTCGATCTAGTCCTCATATCTAAGGAAACGCGGAAATAAACTGTCACCAAATGAATTTCGTCTTTTAACCATTATCGAAACGCAATACTTGAACGTGTCTATCTTTCACTTATAGAACATTGTTCACGTTCTATCGGCAGAGATTTAACGGGATAGGGAAGAATGGATTATGAAAGGTGAAAGTTCTCCTCCGAAGTATCGACTCGTTTGTCACGGTATATACTTCTTCATTTTATTTTTATCGATACACATTACGATAACATTGTTATAATGGCCAATAGTAAGTCGAACGTAATAATATTTTTCTATTTATTTTTATCATTTGTTTCGGATTTAATTGATTGATATTTGTTTCGATATTAATTGATTACTTATAGAATATCTCACATTCATTTACATTGAAAAGATTTGAATGTTATAAAAAATATTATTTACAAAATATTATATTTATATATCTATACATATATAAATGCACTTTTGACGCGTTTATACATTTCTACGAAAACGTAAACGGATTATACGTATCATCTGGCAGGATTTTCTCGTTAAAGGACACATCGATTTGTCGTTCCTTTTTCTCTCGATTTTCTCTGGAAAAAAAAAAAAAAAAATAAAAAAAAAAAAAATCAATCAATGAAAAATTAATGAATGAAAGATTATGAAATGAATATTGAAAAAAAAGAAGGAAAAGAAAATAAAAAAAAAAAAATAACAAAGAACGAAACGCAAGAGATATTTTTATTTTTATTTCCTTTTAATTTTTTTTTTTTATACCGTACCGTATGTCAAGAGACGATAAATTTTGTGTCCTATCTCGTCCGTTTTTTTCCAGTAAAGAAGATCTTCAAAAGGTTTACAACTGGTGCCTCGAAAGCGATAGAAATGCAAAATGACATGAGGTAAGAGGCGACAAGATTGCCAAAGTAAACGATGAGCTTTAAAAGAACAGACATATAACATATGTATGCGGATTTAATATGTTTATCTATGAAAGCATTTCATTTTTCTTCTCTCTTTATTTATGCAACAAAGACGTTGGAAAACTTAAACGCAGTCAGCGAAGTATCCACGATATATGAATATAAAATCGTATGATATGAACATAGAATAGCATTGTTCAATGCTGCGAAAGGAACAAATGATTTTGAAATAATATTATCTCGCTTTAGGCTGTTATCTACCTGATGCAAGGTATCGTTTAATACATGACATCTTTTACTACTTTTCTTTTCGGCATTTTACGAGCTTTTGGACTCATCATAAATAAGATAAGGCATGACGCCCGTGAAATTTATTTCGGAAATAAATCATGTATTTGTTTAATAATAATTCAAAAAAATGATACTTTGATTATTTTCGAATTTAAAATTCATACCTATAAAGAATCCTCCTTATAATATAATATTATATCTTGATAAAGAGAAAAAAAAAATAATAATTGTGAGAGAAATAGGACCTTACCACAATACCGTTATGAAGGTGCAACGGGCCATCCATTTGCGCAACGGTGATCATCATGATGACAGGATGCACCAAATAAGCGCAATAAGTTAGCCGTGATAGCGGATACATCAGCCTCAAAGACAGAAGGCTGTCTACCATTTTAGCTGAACCGGTACAACACTGGATCACGATGAAGGCCACTGCTATTGCCCAGGCAGTATGACCTAAGGCCGCGTAAATTGAACTCACTACTACCGTTAAATTAGCTGGATATAAACCGTAGACCACTGAGAACATTATCAATCCTGACAGCAACCAGCCTATCAACTTTGCGCACTGAAAGTGAAAGGACGATTCTTCAATCCTTTTGTTTTTCTTTCTTTTTTTACCTTTTCTTTTTCATTTTCATACTTTTCTATCTTTTATTATTATAATGAATCGTTTTCTACTCGACTAAGTCGTGGAAAAAAAAAAAAGAAAAAGATAAAAAAGCGTCGCGCGATATTATCGTTCTACTTTATATTTAGATGGAACAAAGTTTTGGAATATGAAGATTAAACTTGGTGTTGGCGAAATAGAAAATAATCGTCGTTGGAGGAAGATCGATTCGTTGAATCGAGGCCATGTTTGGTAGTGCGGTGTGCCTCTTAAGAGAGGCATACGCCATTCATACGAAATATAATACGTCTCCCGATAATATTGTGTCTAGCGGTGTCCTATTTTCTGCTTTTTATAATATCATCTTTAGAATTTTCATAGAATTGAGGATCTTGTAATGTAACCTAGGTAATAGCGTTACAGATTTTACGTATTACATGTTCATGTAATTAGATACTTACCAAAGATAGTTCTATCTTGCAGTTGGTTTTGAATAAAAAATATCCTGTAATGGTACCAACGAAATAAGGACCGGCTCTTAACCAAGGCTTATCGTAGAGTTCGTCAAAAAGGGCAAATGGTTCTTGTATTCTAGATTTGAAAAAAAAAACAATACGTTTAGTTAATGAAAAAAAAAAATTAGTTAAGAAAAAGAGAGAGAGAGAGAGAGAGAGAAAGAAAAGAAATATGATTGAACGATCATTTATACCTTGCGATGTAGTCATTGGCATATGCTACGGAGAAAGTTGTGAAGCAAGAAGATATGATAAGGACTATCACCAGGCTGATTACAATTTTCTTATATTTCACGGAGAAAAGAAGGAGAAGTATACCGAGAACGTAGAACTGCGTATCGTTTGACATATACCAACTCCACAGCATACACTGAAATTTCATCGTAGGAATTTAAACGTAGGAATAATTCAATGGTTAAAGTTTCATAATTCAATAGAACCAGCACAAGAAGTTTAAAGTAGTAAAAAGATGAATTTTCAAGTTGGAGATGTCTTTCGAACTGTCGGAAAAAATCTAATTAACTACTTCGTTTCTTCGATCATTCGTAAAGGTGATTTTTATCGAGATCCTCGTTGTCACGCTCGATCGTGTCTCATCGGCTCGAAACTTTCCCATCACCGATAGAATTAATTATTGGAAAACGATCGAAGCACCTTTCTGCGTTCCACCGATTGGTGGATGTATTCGCTTGGATTTGTCGAGGGTGCATAGGAAGTGATTTCGGTGACATACATTTGGCGCGAGCAGGTGTGCTGACGATCGTAATAAATACCTATCTGCAATTTCATTTTCTCTAACACAGGTACTGATCTAATATTAAGTCTGGACATTAATCGTTAAACCTCATTAAGGATTACACCAATCGAGACGATTAGCAAATACGAACGATCAGCGAAGCGATGATTCTAGATCAACGATTGATTTACAAGGTAATCGAGTTTCTTCTATATAATAATCTCGTGATTATAATGAAACGTTTTTTTTATAGATTCCGATCGACTTGCCTTTCTAAAATGATTAATATGATTCATGTAATAAAATTAATACATTGATGTAACATATTGCAAAATATATATATATAAGAATGTAAAAGCCATTTTTTCCCCCTATATTTATACTATAGAAAATGAAACAAAAAACAAAAAAAAAATAAAAAATTACGAAAGGATTTCTACGTAATTGATTCGTGCTGCTAACTTTTTCACCTATATCGATTATAATGTAAAATAATTATGAACGACTTACCATCTCTTTGCGAGGATATAATGAGTTCAAGTAGAGAGCGTTCCTCCACCAAAATTTGTCACAGTTCAAATGATTAGCGATCTCCGGCGTAAAGACGGTTCTCGCTTGGACCTGTTTTATAGAGATTTCGTTAATCCCAAGGACGAAGAGATAAGCCGGTGTCAATCTTCACGAATGAAAAGGAAAAAAGAAGAAAAAAAAAAAATTAGGTCAAGAGTAATCGTAACATGAAAATAATTTTCATTTATTTCTTTCCATTACTTTAATATAACTCACCTTACGAATCTATAAAGAATCATAATGATGAACTTGCTCGTGCTAGTTTTCAGAAAATCGTTTTTATCAATTTTCAAGCTTCCTAAAGATCGATAGAACAAGATCGTGACCAGAAGACCACTGAAAAATAAAACAATATATAATTTAATTTTTTTATTCCATTCTGACCTAAATTTCATATACTTGAATCAATTACCTGATGAAAAAGAATGTATCGACCGAGAAAGTAGCATTGCTGATCGTCTGGAACATAAAATTCCTCTCGGTGACAGTACGTAGCGTTTTATTCTCTAAAAGTAATACCCATTAGTTGATTTTAGGAGAAACATATGAAACGAATTTTAGAAAAGAACTTGTGAGTGAAAAAATAATTACCTGCTATAGCAAAAACTTGGAGATACGTGTGGACCATTACGACCCATCCTAATGAAAAGACTCGAAGACCGTGAAGGCAGGTCAAACTGTCTCTAGCAGCTGGCTCGGTGCTGATAATTTTTCCACCATTTACGGTAGGACTGAAAGCGAGTAGACATTTCGCCCAAAATCCTGAAAGACGTATTTAAAATTGAAAAACTTTCTTTTCGTTCATTTATTTTCTTTTCTTTTTATACGTTGTACGTATACAATTATGAAAAAAAAAAGAAAAAAAAAAAAAGAAGAAAAAAAAATGTTAAATGGTAAAAAAAATTACAAATTTACCTCTCTCGTTATCATCCTTTATCTGAATGCTTATATCCTTTTGTATGTCGTTCGATCCTTTGTCGATCAATTCCTCGCCATTTTCTTGTACAATCGAGATACAACTGTTCTGTGTTAAATTTTTATCCGTAAAATTAATCACTTTCTCGTTATTATTGGTCACGTTCGAAGACTCGATATCCGTGCTTTCTATCACGATACTTTGCTCGTAAATCGTGGCACATATCATTAAAAAAAGTATACTTCCGCCGATGGTGCTAGAATTACGAAAAAAAAAAAAAAAAAAAGTAAGAGAGAGATTGTTTAAAATACAAAAGTAAAAAAGAATGAAAGGTAAAAGAAAGAAAAATATTCCATTAATATTTATACCTAAGTTGAACTAAGTACGACTGTAAAGTTAGATCGAAGTTGCTTTTAAATGAAATATATTCTATAAAGACGGAGAATTTCATTTTCGTAACTCCTTATTATTCCAAACGGTATTCGGAAAGGGAAAGTCTACGTCGAATTTTTTTTTTCCTTTTCACTGTGAGAGACACATCTAAGACGCGCGACCTCCAAGCCAAAGAGTTGCGTCAAGAGATTTTCTTATTTAAACGCTTGACTTTTCTGGATTAGAATCCAATTAAATCGAACGAATGGAAAATCCATTGAGTAAATCAAAGAAGAAGAAAAATAAAAAAGGAAAAAGAAGAAACAAAAAAAGCTTTGCCGTTTTCGTAAACTCACGATATTCATTCGACGTAACTTCTACTTGTTTCGTTAAAACGAAGAGCACGAATAAAAACTATTAAGAAAATTACGAAGTAATCTTATCGAAACGATCTTATATCTATAAAAGTAGATACTGATTTTCATTGAATAGGGGTATCTGTTTGCATGAATATTGAAAAAAGGAAATAGTCCTAAGTGCAATGCTTTTTATCGTACGTAAAAGAAAAAGAAAAATTAGTAAACTTTACGTAGAAAAATTGTTCGATTTGAATTCGAATTATTCATTGAACTGAACGAACAGTGACATGGATTTCCTTTTACCATAGAAATAACACTCTCACTTGGTAGGTGAACGTTTTTACTTCAGGTCGACCTTCGCAAATTACCTACTTACTAGAAATAATTTTTATCGTCGTCTAGGAAATGCGAAAGTATGAAAATGAGTTCTGGTTTAAAAAAAAAAAGAAAAAAGAAAAAAAATAAAACAATCTATCAATAAATATATGTGAATTAAAAGTAAGATAGTAAATATATATAAAAGAAAACACGTGTCACTTTATTTAATGAAATTATTTTCTTTTATTGGCTCATAACAGGTAAAATTATGGTATCATTAGAAAAAAAAAAAAAAAAAAAAAGAAAACAAAGAAGAAAGGCTAGAGACGTTCATTAGTATTCTCTGAAGGCGTGCATCTCTTCCTTCTATTTGATTCTCTTTAGATTCCGTCTTTCTCTTTCTCTTTCTCTTTCTCTTGGGAGAGCGTCGAAAGATGCAGCATGATGCAATTTACGTTAAACCATAAATTTGTCGTGTCCCATACGTCTTTACAGAGAAATAGAGAGAAACTAAGAGTGGAAGTACTACCTAAGGGAAATAAAATCCCAGCGTCTCTATTTGGGAAATTACTCTATATTGTACGCTTCAAGTTACTTTCGTCAGTAGACAGAGAATGAAACTATCGAAATCATTTAGATTAAATCTTTTCCACTTGTTGAAAATTATTATATTTCTTCACATATACTAAGTATAAGTATAAGCGATAATAAAATCCGTTAAAATATCTTGGGAGATAATGAAAAAAAAAAAAGAAGAGAAAACAATTCAAATAAAAATCTTTTCTAATCAATCGTTTTATCTCTTATCTATCTATATGGATTATGTATTAGAAAGTTTATATCTCGGTATCATTTCTGAATTCGTTTGTAAAAGAAATATCTACCTAAAATCCGTGGATTTGAGATAGAAAGTATTTATAATTGTTACAAAACTTCAACAAAATCATTCTACCGTAAGTATGGAGTGACACGCAACAATGCAGTAGCCAAGGTTATAAGAACATTCGCCCGGCCCATTTTCTCTTACGATTGAAGCTTATCACGATATATGTAGATATTTATATTTCAATTATTTCGGTTGTTGCTCGTTTTAAGACCGATCTATGATAATCGATATCGTATTATCATTACTTATGCATTATAGTGCCATAATTATCTCGATAGTCGGAAACAAATACGTATCGTCATGTTCTCGTTTAAAAGGACATTTAAAGGTAAATAGAACAGGTTGGGGTGCAAATTGGGTTCTTCTTAAATTAAATAAGAAAAAAAGGAAAAAGAAATAATTTCAAATAAAAAGTTTTTTCTCTAGATCGATATCCATGACCTGTTTGTCCTCGTTAGATTCGACTCGACCTCATCGAAACCCGCATTCGTTCAATGGAATGCAAACGATAAACGTGGCACTTTCACAAGTCGGACGTTTAAGGCTTTCTATAATCTTACATAATAGTTAACTGTTGCTGTTACTGCTGCTACTGCTGCTGTTGCTGTTGCTGCAAGCGAGAAAACACGAGAGACTAGCCTATAATCGGGCATGCTATATAAAGGGGACTTGAATCAAGCTCATCAAGCTGTATATATTTCCTCGAATTACATTCGCCCGCAAAACGAACTTGATCCTAATACGTTTGAATCTTCTATTCATTTCATATTACGAAAAGCCACCACGTAGGTCGAGGTCGTGAATAATCCTAAAATTATTGATCGATCAATTAATTGTAAAATTTTTCTTCGTTTGTTTTTTCTTCCATTTTTTTTTCTTTCTTATCATTACTACATACCTATATGATTTATATTATATGGATGCTTAAGTAATCACGATCAATTAAGATCTTGATCTAATAAGAACAACGATAAATATATTTGTATATTCGTATTATTAAAATTATATTCTCTATTATAAAGAGGAATGGAATTTATAAACAAATATTGCACATATATTATATATATGTGCAATAATAAAATAAAGTCTGCAAAATCGTACAGAAATGTACGATATGTTGGTATGAAATCTTTATACGATAAAATTAAAACGATGGAATATATGTAAATTTAAAATTATGCATTTTATATTATTCGAATAGACGTAGTTATTATATATCGTTTATTTGATGAGAAATAGTCGAACATTTTTATATATCGATGATAAAGAAAAAAAGAGAGAGAGAGAGAGAGAGAGAGAGAGAATATAGAGAGGTGTTTGATTAAAATTTAAAGAGTCACAGCAGGCTCGACGATCGATAACATGGCTATACATAAAAGCAAAATGAATTTGTCGAGCGAGAAGAGGGTTTAAAAAGGGTAAAAGAATAGTCGCAATAAAGAGGATTATTTATTGCTAAAAATCCATCATTTTTCGAAATCCTGAAAGAGTACAACTCCAAAAACGCTCTTGCCAACGTGATATTTCGCGTTAATAATTACTTCAGAGGAAAAAGAAAAAACGAGCAAACAAAGAAACGTAAAGTTCATCGAGAAATTCATAATACTTCTGTTTTCTCTTAAAGTTTGTTAAAAAATAAATTGAAGACAAATTATTCGAATAATTTTAAACTCTTAGATCTCTTGTTTCAGAGAAACGCGGAGAAGAACTTTTACAAATACAATATCAGTGGGAATTCAACTAAAAGAGAATGTTTAGTGATAGAAACTTGGCTTAAAAGTTAGAGTAATAATGTTATTTGAATTATAAATTGAACTGTTTGGTTTGTGTGGGTTATTATATCGTCGTTCACTATTACTATTCTATTCGAAACGGAGAAACGATTCAATGGTAAAATCTTTTTTCCATTCTCGATATGTTTATTTGCTTGACCTATTCATGCCTATTCTTGCTTCACTTATTCATATCCATTCTTGCTTGACCTATTCATAATTCATCTATTCATGCCTTACCTATTCTTGTTTGACCTATTCATGCTTCATCTATTCTTGTTTGACCTATTCGTGCTTCATCTATTCATACTTTATCTATTCATGCTTGGCTTATTCATGCTTCATTTATTTGTACTTCACTTATTCGTGCTTGACCTATTCATACCTGCTCATGCTTGACCTATTCATACCTATTTATACTTAACCTGTTCATACTTCATTTATTCTTCCTTGAGCTATTCTTGATATATTCAGCTTGACCTATTCATCTTGCACTTATTCTCGTTATGTCCATTCATATCTATTCTTGTTATAACTATTCACATTATACCTGTTCTTATTCCTATTATTCTTATTTTCATTCTAATTATTCTTATTCTCATTATTTTCCTTATTCTTATTCTTATTATTTTCCTTATTCTTATTCTTATTATTATTAAATTTAATTGAAAATTTTCAATAAATTCGCTATCGTAGAAACTGTTTTCTCAAAACTAGTTTTAAAATCTACCTCATTAGATTTTAACGTTAGAGATAACGTAAACGAGATGTTTATTACCTTTCATATAAAGAAAGAAAGTATTGGAAAGGTTTACTCTTATAAACATACGATTCTAAGGCTCGATCGGTGACAGTGAACCGTAAAGTAAAAGCTTGGTTACCGATAACAATCGTGATTCGCATAACTTTACGTCACGTCGTCGTTTGTATTGACCTTTCAAAAGGAAATGCCGATACAGAATGACTCGATTGCACGAATAAAAGAAAGATGTATTATCATTTCGCAATTTTGTAAAGAAAAATTTCGTAACGTGTAAAAATATAAAAGGATATTTATCAGACGCGTAATATTTTCTCTCCATATAAATATTGTGTGTTGCCATAGAACAGAAGTATAAAATTTCGAAAAAGAAAAAGTATCCGTTTGAAATGAGTGAATTTACGATGCTCATGTCTTTCGTTCCGTGTTCAGTTGCGTTGGAACAAATTATTGAAAGTATATCAACCATCGCACAAATTTCGTTCACTTAACATTAATCATTTATATCGGCAGAATTATCGAAATTTTTTTTTCTTTTTCGCTTCATACAAAATACTCCGATACGTATCGCTTTACTTTATTGTTTAAGCTTTATTCTTTAAGCTTTACTTTATTCTTTCCTTTCTTTGTCCTTTCTTTTTCTCTTAAAAGAAAATATAAGCTTTTCCTTGGCACGCAGATAAGATTGCTATTTTTGTTTCGTAACATTAGAAAGGTAGATATACGGATACACTTTAGAATGTAGTTTGAAAGTTATTTTGAACATAAATACTTTTATAGATTGCACCGGATAATAATATTTCGGAAGCTTTCGCTCGACGTTTTAAGTATCATGCAATTGTTAAACTCGTTGGACGAGTTGCTAATTTCTC